GAGACTCTTCAGAGCTGGAGCGGATTCACCATCCCAAATCCGTTTTCTTTTAGCATCAAGAATTGTAGGAATTTTTTTCACTTCGCCTAATTGCAGAAAATTGAACACACCATTTCGACGAAATTCCCACAAAAGAAATATCGGTCAAAATATTAACTTCTCTCACTTGACTTTTGCTCAGTGCACATGGGCTAGCATGCATAAAGGCATGAAATGTATTGCTATAACAATAAAACTCTGTCTTGCATTTAATTGGAACTTTACTTATTTACTAGTTGCGAATATTTTACAAGCATGTCGAGTTTCCGAACACGAAACGGCCAACACGGACTGGATGCGAATTCAGTCCACCAAGCACCCCAAAGAAATGTTCCAAAGGGTTAAATTTTGTCTACTTCAAAACTCTTATTGCTATTTTACTGATTACGTGAATATTATATTACCAGATTAACCGTATTCTGACATATGTCGATATGGGCTTATGTACACTTAATTCAAGTGCTTTGATGTAATAGTTTCTGTTGTTGGATAACTTGGTGACTGCATCCTGACATGCAAGTCAGTGCTGATGGGACCTATTTTCCCACTCTCATCACGAGGTATATTTGTTTTTGAATTGATTTTAGTTGATTATTGCCTGATCAAGATACACAAATTCTAATTGATAAGAATAGTGCTGAAGCGGCCTCGCTGGTGGCACCCTCCCGAAATATGGTTGAATGAAGAAAGATGTAAGGGGGCGGGTGAGTATGGTCTAGACCTCCTCAAGTGATTTAAGATCCAGGCTCCGGTTCCAGAATAACTGACAGACACTTCTTGTTATAATCCTCAGAAGATCGGTTTTATTAGGCAATCGATAAAACCCGACAAAATAAAGAAAAGAAGAAAATTAAACACTCTATGGACAAAAGATGAGAATAGAATACGCGCGATTCACAGTAGTGCACCTCCAAGAGTTTGCAACGCGTTGGCCAATCACCATGCGCGAAATCTGTCGACCCAATGCGCGTTTGGGAAGGGTCGACAGATTTCGCGCATTGTGATTGGCCAACACGTTGAATACTCTTGGGGGCGCACTATTGTGAATCGCCCGTATTAGTGACAATGTATTTGACTGCTAAGAGTACAATGTGCATTACGAAATGGCACGAATGACAGAAAAAACCTCTTCTTTGTCACTCCAAGGCCTGGAAATATATTGAGCTACATGTATGATGTGGAAATTGGATCAAAATAACTTCTTACCCTCAGAAAGTGGGTCAGAGTCCCTTAGAATGAAATGGACAAACCACAGGAGCGGTTGGCTACAAATATAAGTGTCTGGTTCACTGCGTAATGAAAATTACAAAAATAACACTGAAATATCCCGAAGTCTCGTCGACGGCGGTGCAATGGCATAATCATTACACAGAGCATATTTTACAATGGCAATTTAACAGTAGCAAAACGCACAACAAACTGTAACATGACGGCAAGCGGAGGCACGCAGAGCGTGAAATTGGCTGCGCAGCAATTTTATCGCATTACAGAGTTGCTATGGCACAGTGCTCCGTAAATAACCCTGATCATCTTGACACAGGCCATGATTTGGTCTTATAAATCTAAGCCCAAACAGCCAAATATTGACCCCTAACTCCCTTGGAGAATCACTGGAAATTACAATTTACCTGATTCAGGCTCACATTTCATCGAAATGAGGGGGAAGCTGTAGGCCTACTTGAGAAACAAGAGCTTTGTCCTTTCCAAAAAAAGGCAGAGCCACCATCCTCGTGCAATCGATTATTACATATTGTACACTCGGCGTTTCCGTTCAAATGGAAGGAATCGACTCCCCAGTAAAGCACAATAATAAATGGATATGAATACACCGATGCCAACCGAAAAGGATTAGTATCAAGAATCGTATAAATTTGGTGGGAAGCATAAATATGTCCCTTCCCGTGCCATATGAATAATGCATTACAAGTCAAAGGTTAACAAGATATAAACAAAGAATGTGAATGTGGATCCCACGACCGTGTGCATGCGGTACACACAGACGTGACCACCCAAACCCGACTCCCTACTGCAAGAATTACATCCAGTTTATGTATTATCATTAGGTAAGAAAAAGGGAACGTGAAAGGGAAAAATTGTGAATCATTGTAAAAACTCATCCCTTGGTATAATACAATAAAATAACATACCTTCTCTAGTCTACACACTGATATGTTTATAAATATTACACTATCATTAGTTCAAAAAAGTAACAAATCGGTAGACATTCCCTTTAGACTAACTATGGAAAATTGTGCACATTATGCCAACACATAAACCCTTTTTTTTTCTATCCCTAAGCTGACAAATACTAACACAGCCACATCGATAGGAAGACCGCCCATGGTACAGCTCCCAGCATCCATTGCTGAGAGATGCTGTGCCCTTTGCTGGGGGTGGAGCTCATTGGAGCAGTGGGAAGGAAATCGTAAGCACCAGCTGCATAGAGAAATATTAGAAATTTTTTTTCACCAGTTCTTGTGCTCTTCTTCAAAATTATGTTTGAACAATAACAATTCTAAATATGCAAAATACTGGACAGATTCTATCATAACGGAACCGGGAATCCATATTGCACTTATTGGCAGATGAAAACTCACCCGTTTCTTTCAGTGTGGGACTCCAAAATACCGAAGATCGCTGCAGAAACACAATGAAGAGGAATGAAATGTAGGCTCTAAAAGACTATAAGAAGCCTCAATATTAATCATTTAAATATACATGTCATATATACAAGTCACCGGGTCTTCTGAAACCAAAGATCGTTGAAATTTACCTCTTCGATATAAAAGAAGCAGGTTGTTGAAAAAAGGTTCTACTTGAAGGGACATAACAGACAATGGAACAAGAAGACTCACGAAAGTGAAAACAATCTATGCCTTATACCGCAAAGAGCAAGTTTGAACCAGCTAAATGCGGCCAGTGTCGTTCACATTGCACGTTGTTCTAAGTAGACAAGATATTTTTCGCACTTACCCAATCAATGGCGCTCTTGGATCCAATTCTGATACGGTAAAGTGTTCCTTTAACCAGCGCCACGTTCAGGTAGCCGCCGTACATTTTTCCGTCTCCCACCACCACGCTGCCGGTGTTTTCCCCCTTGGGTATCTCAGCGGCTATGTAGGCGTGCGGGTTATTGCTGAAGGTCCCGAAAGCTCTCCCGTCAATCTCTACCGGCGACCTCTTTGATCTCGGAGCGTCGCTCTCTACGGCAACAAGATACGACCTGAACAGGCAAAACGATTTACCGCAGCTGGATGGTTTCCATGGACCATGCTTAAAAACACCCAAAATATGTGTTCATTGACAGTACGAAGACTTTTTTCCTCGTTTCTAGGTTGACAAACTTTTCATGGCTCTCCTCGAATTTGAGCTAAGGACTTTTTTGCTTGAAACACTGATTATCCTGTTGTCACAAACCCTTCGTCTTTGAGCAGGAACAGCTTCTAGAGTGGGCGTCAATGTCTTCAGGCAACACCCATTCATCGTGGTACGATGGAAAACAAACCAAGTAAAGGGTACAGAACACCAGATATACACGATCAGTCTATGATCTATTGATAGATCCAGGAAGTTGTGATCAATTTTTCAATATTTCTGAAGCGATTTTCTAACTTTTGATAGTGTATAAGCCACATGGCTTCTCTTTCTTTCACTTTTTTAAAAGTACAGTCAGTGACTGAAAACTGTCGAGTCTCAGACCCCAATCTTAAAATTTACAGGTCAGAGCTTGGTTGAGCTTGAAGGATTATGAATCGTTGCTGTCTTAATCAACCAATCACTCGTTGCACCCAAATTTTCTGCAAATGGATGACATCAGAAAGATGATGCCTCTACTAAAGGCACCGTTTTTATACATGTAACTTACGTCACATAGTAATCATCCGGGTCTTCCAGAGAAATGGTAACACTTGTATCATTAGATGCATACGGATCAACAACTGGTAGAGATGGCCCGAGAATATCTGCAAGCCGATAACAAGATTCAAGACATCGTTAGAAATGGGAATTAAGCACGTCAAAAGGGTCTATAAATCTTAAACCTTAGGGAATGATGTTTTGTTTCACTATCAAAATAATTATGGTTCAGTCTGACAAGCAGGAAAACCTAACACAAAATTAAATAGTGCAGCAAGAAATGTACGTATCTTTGTATACTCATCATGAGGTCATTTGATTTCAGATTACAAGAGATTTAGAGTCAGTGTCTGAAAAAAATACATTCGAAAGAAATGGAGTGTCATGTTGAAATTTATAGAAAGACCTCGAGCAGCACTTGTTGGGTTTTTCCCGTCGGTTAATCTCGGGCACGATGTCGTTTGACCCTCACTTCTGGACACACCGAAAGTACAAAGATTAATCAAACGGAAAACGGAAGACGCATTTTATGAAACCAACCAAAAATGGAGAGAGATTTGCACATTAGATAGGAGGATCGAATCATGGGGCAAAGATTTGCTTGAATATAAACACAACGGGCAGGTAGTTTACGAAAATGACGTCAGACCTTTGCAAAGTGGTAAACTGTTATCTCATATCAGAAGTTATCCTAAGAAGGAAATGATGGATTTTTACCCATCTTCGGCCAAGTGAAAGTCTCAACAATATCTATGGTTCCTGCGCCGTAAGAAGTCCAGGCAGCCGCGGACAGCTCGTAGTAAGAACCGGGCTCAAGATCGGTGAAGCGCGACGAGAATACGTTGGGTCCGAGGTGACGAATTTCAGTCGCAGAGAGCGGCGGAACGAAGGAAAGGTCGAATGGCCGATTGGAGGGCCTAAGCGTTATCTGAAGAACGTTCAGTGGAAAGAGACACACGTACATATTCAAATTAAAACTCCGGGCAACTTGTATGGTTTCCCTTTGCATTTTGAAAACTGGCCAAAAAGATCAAAAGCTGATTAATGTCTAACGAAATCCGTTTGATTTTCAAAGCTTTAAATGCACTCCATCAACTCTGAAAGAAGTGGCGGAATTGTAAGTTGGGAAGGCTAAAAACGGATATAAAATTAAATTTGTCAAGGAATGAATCACTGAGCAGGAGCACACCCGTGATTGAGTTCAACAAAGTCAAAGTCCTGCTTTCGGTATAATTAACACCACGAATTAACACGCACGTTATGATGTATTCAGGAGTAGAGGTAAAAAAAACACAATTTCAATTTCTTAAAATGGATGCTTAGACATTTACAGAGAAGAAAAATGAGGCGAACCAGTAAGGTATTTCATTTGGTAACTTCTAAATTGATGGCAATAAAACACCATTAAAGTTAACGCAATTCTAATAAAACTTCTTTTACCGTGTAGTTGGTGATGACACCGTTGGGGTTACGTGGCTCCTCCCACGTACAGGTCACACTTGTCTCACTTGTTTCGTTAGCATGGAAGTCAGCTGGTATAGATGGGCCTAGAGAAGTGGGAAAATAAACATTTTATCAACGAGGGATACAGAAAACTATGTTAACATTTCGTTAAGAAACCCTGTCACTCATGAAATAACACGAACACAAATCAAAACCGTCTCAGTTAATTACTTACTAGATTCTTCTGTCCTAACCACCAGCGGATCGCTGAACGGACCGTCTCCCACCTGAGAGCGAATGGCGACTTTAAAAGCGTAACGGTGGAAAGGTAAGAGGTCGAAGATCAACTTCGGTCCCCGAATAGCTTGCCCTGTAATGGGTGCTGTGTTGGGTTGGTCCACGCTGTTCAACTCGAAGTAGTAACTTCTGAAAGCGCTGGACATGGTACCGATGGAACACTCAATATCGTCCCAGGTGAACGCTAGGTACGTTCCTCCTGAAGCATGTTTGAGAAGCCTGACGCCCCTTGGCGGATCAGTTGGAGCTATATAGAGTAATTCGACCACCAGAATAAGAAGCCATTACTGAGGTGGCACAACGGTTGTGGACGGGTGGTACACGCGTGTTACATGCCTTTTCGACTAACAGGGTGCTGTGATTTGCCATATGCTTCTAATTCTGCTGGTCGAATTACACAATACACGATTTTTTTTCCTAAATGGAGTTTGAGGAAAGAACTCCAAACAAACATGTTTCAACACGATATACAAAAGTTGTAGTACTCTGCTGTTAGGCTACAAAATATTGCTGTTTAAAAATAGGCTTGACTTTCATATGCTCTCTTTTCAAGCAGTGTCTTGCTTGACAAAAGGAGAGCATTCCAAAATGTACTGGTGAAATGATTTTCTAAGAATGGAAAAGCTACCATCGTCTTGTTACTTTCATGAACAGAAGAAAAGCATATAATATGTATGGGCATCCTATTATATAGACTTCTTATGAGGATGGAGAATGGCCTACACTAGTGGTTTGTAGTACCGATGGCCTGTTTGTTTCACACAGATCCGGATCGGTATCAGTGACCAAGAACTGGTTTGCGCTATCAATTAGGTGGGTTCTGATGTCAGTGAACCAGCGACGGAACAATGATCGCGATCCGGAAACAGGCCATAAGAGGAGGCTGTGCAACCTGAAATCTGCCGAGGAGACGCCGTTTTGAATGCTAAGTATCCAAGGGTTTTGCTTGTAATTTGTACTCTGCCAGACACAGGGCAAGGTTAGATAGTTTGATTGCCAGTATATCAGCAAGCATTCTAACACTACTCGTATGCAATTTATGAATCTATTCGCACAACATCTAAAATGCAATAGCCCCTAATCTCGTTTGAAAGGTTTCCACTCAACGAACATTGCTACTTCGAGTTGTATATATTAACCACATGTACACAACCACAAAACGCTCTCCGCTGGACAAATTTATCCCCTCCGTGTACCGGAAGCCACCATGGGCTTCTACTGTCGCATCCAATTTTACGCTCACCAACTTCGGGCGTCTGAACCCAAGCCCGTGCTTCCCCCTGGAGCCCTGTACCCGTCGACGCCTCCACAATCGCCTCGTAGTTGGAATACGGCAGGAGTCCGGTGATCGTGTACGACGTCCCCGTCGCCAATTCTGCGGCTACCACCGGGCTTGGGTTGTTGAGCGTGTTGCACTGCGCCTCGATCCTCAGCATGTAGCTGACCCGGTAGAACTCTACCGGGCTGTCCGGGGACTCCGGAGGCACCCAGGTCACCAAGACGGCACCTGGGGTGCCCTCCACGTTGACGACCGTCAGATTTTGGACCTGCCCGGTGGCTGTAAACATAAAACAGTAGCAGTTTCAATATCTCATAAGTTGGGGCCTAGTTTTCTAATTACCTTCGCTGAATAATTGCGGCCTCCATGCAGCAATTACCATTCACATCACGATCAAGGGATCGTTTTTTTAAGTTGTAAGGAAGTATGGTGTGCGACTGTGCTCATGTTTTCATGGTGTCAGTGGTTGAAGTCGATTTCTTTTGTAGGGTAACACTCTTTTCTACAGGGAAGATATAAATCCAATGATGGCCGTGTGGCACAATCTGCATGGCTCTGCAAAAGTTCAATGCAAATAAATTATTCAATGAGCCGATTTCAAGGACTGGTTCACACAGAATTGGGCTCCACAGATCCGGTATAGAAAAGACTTCCTGGAACGGGCATCCCTCGTTTGTCCCAATAGTGGTATATCAGCCACCAGGAAGCGACATAGCATGCCCTATACATTCCAATTTAGCAGGGAAAATATAGAAGCCTTTTCTTAAAGAGCACCTTTAATGGAAAACATGTCTCTTTGATTTTATCTGCTCAAATAAATACGGAAGCATCTATTAAAATCGAACGCAGTGTCATTAATGAGCTCAACTATAACAAGCCAAAAAGGGTTTTTTTCTGTTCATGCCAAGATGCGAATCCTGAATGTAGAATGCGTCATTCATAGAAAACAGAGAAAATGAGGGGAACCCTCGCCCCGTGTTGGTGGTAGATAAGCAATGGCTACAAACAATGGTTACAAGCATTGTTTGAAAAGGGCTTACCCACTACCAACACAGGGCGAGGGTTCCCCTTGGTTTCTCTGTTTTCTCAAAATAATGCAATCTCTATTCAGCATGTTCAGAATTCGCAGCTTGGCATGAACAGAAAAAAAGCCTTTTGGGCTTGTTGTGGTTGAGCTCTGAAGACAAATGACACTGCGTTCGATTTGGACGCTTCCGTATTTCTTGAAAGATAAAATCAGAGAAAACTTGTTTTACTTAGAGGTGCTCTTAAAATACCTGCGAATTTTTCAGGCCAGTCTCAAAAGGGTTTGTGCACAGTGTCAAGTGATGTCAGTGTATGGAGCTCTTTCTCCGTTGGACGTTATAGATGTATCTTCAGACCAACCCGTGATGACGGGAGATCTTACCCTTCATTTCGCAAGCCCCAAGCCCTCCATCTGAGGGCAGACACGCTGGTAAAACTTTCATATTATTTCCCTCATCATGACAGGTCAAGAATAGACAAAGGCAGATCCGGAGTCAACATTTTGGATGGACTGCATCGGTTTTTTTCTTCAGGGGACAATAATTTGAAGATTTGTTCACGTAAACCTCATGTTTCTCTGAGGTGTAAGTTAAAACAATTGGTGGGTTTTAAATCGCGTCTGGGGATTGGGACTTTGGGATTGGGGATGGAAATGAAATAAACCCTACAAAGTCGTTTCCCCCTTTCTTTATATTCACTAAAGCAACAAATATATATGGCCTCATATTATTTGTTTTTAGGGGTTGGGGTTGAGTGATTCCTAGTTCGGACTTTTTATGTCCGCGTATGCTCTGCCATTGGTGTTATAGCGGGACAAACTGGCGGCGGAAGGGGGTGCAGTGGCCTCCCGCATTTTTGACTGGGGGCCTCCCCCCTCCACAATTTGCAGGTCCCATAATTGGGTGGGGCTCAATGGATCGAGCCTGATGCCTGATGGTCTAAGAACTTCCCCCTCCCCGTGAAAATCGTTCCACTGCCGGTGATTCAGTTATGTACTGCAAGGAATATCATTTATAATAAGTCATATAGTTCGGTGTGTTCTTCCTGCTGAATTGCTGCTGATGTTTAAAAGGGAGGAATATCGCTGAAGTAGATGGGGATTTTTATTATGGTGACACAAACAGTGTAAATTATCCTTCTATATTTCGAAAAAAATCTTTGATGGAGAGAGTAGTGTAAATTGACATTACCAGAAATAGGTCAAGCGTAACTTCTGTTCTTCGGCCAAAAAAATCTTTAATCTGAATGGCAAAATTATGACATTCCCAGTTTTAATAAATGCCGAGCGTTATTAATAAAAACAATGAAGTATTTTTTTTCATTAGATAGCAGGGATGTACAGCCATTACAGATATGTTTGAACCTATATTACATATCACTTTTGATTTTTCAAGACTCAGCCGTAACAATCAAAATGGCGACCACAGCATTCTGTACGGTCCATTTTAATATGCATTCACTAGGTACGCCGTGGTCATTGCTCTCTCTCCCTCTGGCCAACTCCACAGTGCCAACGAACTACATGTATATCCACAGGACATTACAAGGCAGTTACACTCAGTTCATCTTTTCGTCAGAGCAGATTGGGGCTTACCATTAACTTCAGGGAGGACAGGTAACACGAACACTAACATCAGTGACATGGCAATGGCTGGCTTTTCCGACGCCATCTTAGGACGAGCGAAAAAAACTGTCCAGCATGATGGGGCAGCTCTCAACAACGATCACGCTCCTCCAAAACCCTACCCTGGAACCGTGGTCTCAAACGTACAATGGGCTCGCAGGCTGCAGTGTGCACAGTCTGAAATTTAAATAAAAATCGAGCCGTCGTGGAGGCCAATCAACCGTAAAACTTGCCTACATGATGGTAGGCACCTGATGGCACTGTGCATGTAGAAACAGCTAGCGACCCTTACTAATGACGAAAATATTGATTATCAGTACAACATTCATGATTACGTAAAGCGGGTTCATGATCTGTGAAATGACTATGCATGATGTCAAGTTGGTTTCACAGCTAAAAATCGAAATCGACTTAACCTGTGCTTGAAGAGAATTGGGCATGTGGAGGGTTTCAGTCAATGTGTGATATTGAACATTAATGCTGGGAAACTGATTTACCCATGATTTAAAATAGATGATTGAGCAAGAACATGATAATGTACTTTTTTGCTGTATTTTTTTTTAAATCTAAATAGGGCTGGGGCGGATTGTGCCAATGAGCCCTGAGCTGGAGCAAGAGAGGGCGCGATTTTCCTGGCAACGGGGGCTCCTTTGGTCGGAACTGCACTTCACTGGTTCACAAACGACTACAAAAATGCGCACGTTACGCTCGCATCACTGCAAGCAAAATGAACACCTCCGACCAACATGTCTCTTTTCAACTGATGAGGGGATGCCTTTGCTTAAGATGGATTTTGCCTGACACGACAGTATGCCGTCCTTAAAGTGTGGCTGCAATGAATTTTTCTCCGACACAATTTTTCTGCATCTTTGTGCTTTTCTTGGATTCGGTTAAATGCATTGAAAAGTACACACTTTTAAACACTCAAAATTATCCATGTTTTCCCGGACAAGTAAGGGCGCTGTTGATGTGAAGTCATATAGGGAAGACATGATTTTACTAACTGAAAGCATTTCTGAAAGAGGAATTGATGGTTTCTTATTGCTATGCACATAAACAACAGTGAAACAGCAAAACGAGAAAACTTAGTCCAGGAAAATCTGCAAAAATGCAGGACTTTTGTGTACAAACCAATGTAACATTCAGGCTTCTTCCTGAAAGGACATCACAGTTTCGCTCATGAATATGGAAATCTCATTAGCATAAAATCCACAAGGGTATTAAAATACCCTTTGAAATAGTGATACCAAACTTTAAAATAAGGTTTACTGAGGCACGAAGGTACATTTAATATAAACATTGATTGCAGTTCCCTTTAAGTTTGCACCACATTTCTGAGACATTGGTGCTCAGTGATGCGTAACCAGTGGCGGATTTAGAGGGGGCACAACTGGCACCCCTCCCAACCGCCTGCAAGATACTGAATTTGAAATTGTCCACATTGTTTTACGTAGTGACTGAGGGTTTCGCACTGCACTCTCGTATTTAAACCCTTCAGGTTTGCGCCCCCCCCCTCCCTTCCGAAAACCCTGGATCCGCCATTGGTGGCCCCCGAATGTAACCAAGGTGTTACTGAAATGCTTGCAGCTTTTGCTGGACTATACTAAGCCTTTTGAAATTTACTGATGGTAAACGCGATTTGACCATACTAATTAAGGTACTAAAAAGGATCATACTTTTTGGAAATACAAGGGGGCAGTTCTCGAACACAAGGCCTGTTCGTTTTATTTGGATAATCCAGCCCTTCCCCTACAACATGATGTACAATGTATTTTGTTTGTCATCAATCTTCAGCTTGATTTATTAACCACAAAAAGCAGTTTTCTGGTCTCCCACTTGAACCATACCACGCTGCAGAAAATCTCTTTCGAAAAGGTCGCAAAAGGATGTCAAGTTAGACATACGATTCTGACTGTTTTATGCAAAACAAAAGTTTACAATACAACTCAATGGAGAAAGTAAACAGACACATCGTGCAAACATTACTTTAACAAACTGGTGAGACAGTCACTGTTACTATAATACTCTAGTACCTTGTTTATCACCTCCCACAACTTTGAGAGAAACAAGACAATACATACTCTTTTAAAATACCCATTACTCGGATTAGTGCCTTTTAACCGTCAGCATATATACATAAACAAGGTGACTACTCTACGGGTTGACATAAGTTTGAAGCCATCTTTTATGAATTGTGAAAAAATAAGATACCATGCACAAACATACAACTTGTACGTAGTACTGCAGACCTGAGTTTGTCGTGCATTAAGCGTCAGTAATACAACTTATCCAACAAAAGGACCTCCTCTCAAAGGTAAAAAAAATAACAGATCACCTATTTAAATTTGTATGGTTATACACTACATTCATTAGCAAACAGGGCTGTGACTCTTCTAGAGAACATTCTCGCCTTTTTTGTCAATTCAATGAGGAAAAAGGGCTTATGTACTGGTAACGTCACATTCTTTTACATGCGCGCTTCCATATGGAACCAGTGGGGGCATGGTCTACGGCGCACCATAGGAAAGCACACGTAAAAAAGTTTGGCGTCATCAGTAGAGAGCTCCGCAGAGGTCCATTTGAGACACTTTCATCTACCCTCCTCCCTAATGAACCATTTCGGTATTCCAACAGCTAGCTCATGCCAGTGCATGCAAGGCTACTCGGGAATGGCTTCACGCGCGCGTTGGTCTGTCGTAACAGTGTAGACAAACGCTGATCCGTGTTCACTTTGTTCCCGTACGACCCGGGCCTTTGAAATACCGAACTATCTCATTGGGTTCACATCCCGGGAAAGCTTCGCCTTTCACTACCGCATTTAGTAAATGTTCTGTCCCAGTTATATTCATTCATTTTACGGGAAAATTTAAACCCAAAATATCGAAAGATTTGGTATGCTAATCCCAATCCACCGTTTGCAACACAGTAACTTGGCATTCACCCATTATCACCTACAGCAGATCATCTGTCATACAAATAATAATCTTATAATACAGCTGTGCTTTGTGGCTTATAACTCCCGTCAGACCCGGTGAAACCTGGTCGATAATTCTTTTGTCAAAAACACCCAGGTCTAGGCACGATGATTTAGCTTCGCAAGATGTTACTTTTCGTCTTTTGTCAGGGGTACCTCGTCACTGGATGACTCCTCCTGGGGAAAATTCAACAGTGGACAACGAGTCCTGTGAATTAAAACTTTGACAAATGCTCCAAAATAACCACAGTCTTTCTACAACGGGCAAAACTACTTTTGTATGGACCTCTCTTTTGATTACAAACATTGACAGCCTTTCGTTCCGTGTTAACATGAGAGGCATTTTTGTTAATATCTAGTGAAAGTTTCCATTATAGTTTCAATATTCGTATGTATTTTATTTCTTTATTGTCCTTTAGATATGATCCCATGGCAAGTCGTAATTTTGTAACCACTGGTTGATTTAAAACAGAAAGTTAATGGAGCCCTGGAAGGCATATAGATATGCATGTAGTCTAACCCCATCTCATTCAACAGTTCATGATAACTTAGACTTTGGGAACAATATCGGTCTACTGGGAACAGTGAACCCGATCTTTTGGAGGTGATTCTTAATATCCAAAACAAGAAAGAGGTATTATCTTAATACCTTTTAGTCATTTCTTTTGTAGTAAAGTTTTATCTGGTTGAAAAACCCACGATTTGGAAATTGGGAAAAGTAGGGTTACCTTCAGCAAAAAGAAAGGAGCACTGCAACGTGAAAAGGGGTGAAACGGTTTACCAGGTTTTGGGAAGAGGCTCTGAAGAAGAATCAATTTTACCAACCTTTGTGTTTGAACACCAAATTCCAAACGCTGTCAGAAGAACCAAGACGGTTAAGTAAAACCCGCACACACCAGCAATGATGGCATTGTCTGTTTCTGGTCCGAAGCGATTGCGGAAGCCACCTTTCTTTGGTTTTCCTGCGTTTTCCTCCGAGGAACTGGTTGCCATTGTTGCAGCAGGAGGGTTTCCGACAAGAATTGCTGCAGACACAGTAATGGAGTTATAGCTCCAATTTAAGACTGTAAAAAGGAAGGGCTTCATGTAGAATGTGTTGAGCACATTTAATCCGACATGAGTTAGGCATTGACTGTGTTCTTTATCAAACCTCTTTACACGGCAAAGTACCCAGATTAATCATTTCGTCTGTTCACGTTTTTTTTCTCTGGTGACATGGGCAGAAAAGATGGGCCCTGGTGTCAACCACTGTGTGCAATGTATAAGGGAAAATTGTGACTAATACATAATCCATAGCTGTAAAGGAAACCTGTTGTCTACAGCTAAGTCTGGGTCTCTACCCATTTGAAATACGCGGAGAGTTGTCTAGACGTACGAGCAGCTAGCTCCGCAAGTCTGTTTTGGACAAGGTTTACCTTTATTTGGCGGACCAGGAACCCCCTTTCGAAATAGCACTACTGCGAACTCGTACTCTGCATCCGGTTCCAGACCGGTCACCACCGCAGAAACAGAACCGGACCTAACGGGCATATTGTCGAAGGTGATGTCACCGACACGTCGCCAAACAACCTCCTGGTAATCAACCGGGCCGTCACCGCCACCGTCTGCCGTCCACGATAGCCACGTGACGGTCGCATTGCCAGGGGCTGGGTCCCTGATGCGTGCTGTAGGAGGTGTCCGCAAGTACGGCTTTTCTGATCGGAAAGGGGGAAAAGAGAGTACTGCTGGATAGAAATCATGTCCTCGCCTAACAGAGGGAAAAATTTCCACACGTCAAAGTAATATGAGGAATTGGAAATTAGTTCCAACTGTCAGCTTTTCCCGCAGCAAACATCTTTCTACTAAAATCAACCATTTACAAGCTGTCGCATTCGTGGATTTGTTTACCGTAGACAATTACTCTCAGCGCCTTCCTCCCTACCACCTCGTCGACTCCATCATAGTGCAACGTACACGTGAACTCCATGTCGTTTCTATCCACGAGGACCCGGAAGTGATTCGTTCGCGTTCGTCCACTGACCGTAGTACTTGATCTGTGGACATCCCCATCTGACCCCGTGAGAACGAGGGAGTGTGGACCGGGTATAGGGGAAGATCTGAGCCCGCCCCCTCTACTACTACACACGAGCTCCACCGTCTCGCCCGTAGCCACCTCGGAGGCTTGGATTAGCGTCACTTTCCCCACTGCGGAGGGAAATACAGAATGAGCGTGTGAGACATTTGAGGACACTCTCCTATAGTGTTTGCATACCCGTTTCCCGTACCTCCAGGGTCTACACACCTGTTGTTGAACGACATTTGCCATGGTCTTATGGGCAAAAATTTTACAATGGTGACACACGAAAGCCCCACAATGCTGTGCAGCATTTCAACATAATTATTCTTGTTCCCTGAGCATTGGGGCTAGCTATTAACTGTGGCAAATGACGTTTGGACGTGATCGTACAGTATGCATTGGTGATACCCTTCAAGCTGAGGATACACCCATCATAATTGAAATTGGATTTCCTTTGAAATCTTCGCGAACCCATCCCATCTCCTGCGATGTTTCAGTGAACCGAAACATGTGCAAATGCGATCATGGAGCCAGTGTTCTGTGGATTCTAACTTTCATGCCCCACCTATCCTAGCATCCAAACATCTGAGCATGCAGCCAGGTGCCGAGCACCACATTATAAATAAAAACTGCTTCTTTGAAATTTCACCAAACTGTTTGGTTCACGACATGCTACACTTTACAGAAGTTGGGTTTTCACTAAGGACATGTGCATTAAAGTCGCGTGTGGAGTAGTGTTGCTAAAGTAGGTTTAAAACTCATGGTCAAAGTCAAAACTTACTTGTGACGGCGTTAAAAGGCTCACTGTACGGACCTAAGCCCTTTTCGCTCTTAAACTGCACCCGAAATCCGTAACGGGTGTAGGGCTCTAGGTCAGTCACTAATACCCCAGCCACTTTGGTCTCAGACGTGATACCGGCTGTAAAGTCATCCCAAGTGAGGTTGTAGCGGTAGCCCAGGAATCGGCTCGACCTGCTGCCGGCCGTACACGGTACGTTATCCCACACAAACTTGAGGGACGTCATGTTGGACTCGGCGCGGACCAGCATCACACCGGTCGGTGCATCTTTCGGCACTACTCGTAAAATACCAACAAATGGGCGCGTTAAATCAAAACTTATTCCTAATTATAGTTGCATCAACAAGGTTTTCTTGTTATTTATCTTGGTTTGGGACATAATATAGAGTAGAGACTTATGGACATGCAAATATGAATATACAGTATTGTATCATACTCGCTGTATGTAGGTATGCCTGTTTCATCTGAACAATTTTTCTCTCAGAATGCTTTGTGCATTGCCAAAAGGGACTTCGAACTGTGTTGTGATTGACATTATCCAAACTATTCAAAAATAATTCCACCATTCTCTCATAATCCATCATTAAGCGTACCCTTTTGGCCTGTCCTTGCGTACGTGCTGGATTCGGGGAAAGCGTAGCTCAAGGTGTTGGCTTGGACGTAGACGTTATAGCCGGAGTTGGGCTGGAGTCCCGTTAGTAGATAGAGGCCGCGGTCCTGCGTATCGGAGCGGTGGATCATCTCCACCAGATGCCGATTGCTGTTGTCGCTGGCGTTGAGCACGGTATGGCAGCCGTAGCGGTCTGCCCACGAGTAGCTGATGGAGAAATACCTCGGTGTGCCGTGCTCCAGGACAAGACGTCCCGCGGTCGGGTACCTCCAAGTCACATTGAGAGCAAGGGGGTCTCCGTCAACTGGAGAAGCGACTAATCCCTGAACTGAATGGTTTGCTGTCCCAGACGGATACAGACAAACAGACAAAAAAAAAACAAGACATGTAAGGTTCTGAGCTCCAAAATGTTGGTCAGATTCACAAAATCTTCTGTCTCCTTTTTCTATGATAGACAGGGGACAAAAAGATCTGTAAAAATGACTGGCTGTCTGAAATATTAACACCAACTACACACGAAATGTATTTTTTTAGTTTATTTCATGTATTAGTTTATGTCAGTGGGTCAGAAAATGACAAGTACGTCCACAATATGGCCGTTTCCCAATAGTACGCCACCAAGTGTTTGCAACGCGTTGGCCAATCGCGAGACTTGTCGACCCAATGCGCGTTTGGAAAGGGTCGACCACTTTATGATTGGCCAAACGTGTTGCAATCTCTTGGTGGCGCACTATTGTGAATCGCCCGCATTATAGTGTCAGCATATTTTCCACAATGAACCACAGAGGATCATGATAAGCACGACTAAATTACTGGAAAACAAAAACGAAATTCCTTGGCATCAGTTGAAAGGAGTCTGTAGCATTACTTAATGCAATGCTGGATGGAGATGACGTCTCATCTTGTTCCGTATCTCAGGTTTTTCATAGCCAAGGGGCAAACGCAAAAAATTTATGAGGAACTTGAAACTATTGGCATTCACAACAGACGAGATTTGGAGTGTGAAAGGTCACTTTATAGTGATGTAGGCTTAATAATCAGTGGGATACGTTTACATGAACTTTTGTGGCACACACATAAATGCACCCATTGAGAAATCCTGGAATAAAATTGTCATCGTGTACCATTTAGTTCTAAGGTCGCCCAATTTGTTTTGATGATGGCAGTCGGTGTTCCGTACGAATGTTCATTTTCAGAAATAGTTAATCCCGGGGGACGCCCTCAACGGGCCCTCCCCCAGTTCCCTTTGTTCTTCTGCTCCTCACCAGATGTTTAGTTAGCCAAGTACTTTATTAAAGACCCAAACGGCAACCTTGCCGCTCAAGATATTTGTCCAGATTTGTGTGCGCCCACCCCTTTCCCTCGTCGAAGCTGATCGATCCGCCTCGTTCTACATAGTGCGTTAATCACTAGTGCTGAGTAGTGACTGCACTTCAATGGGATACCAATTGGCTTCAGTGAAACCACTGCACAATCAAACACGATCTTACTAGGTCCTCAAAAATAGTAAGAGCGTGGCCAATCGTGTAATGGTGATATCTAGTACATCATAGTAAAGAATTCAGTGGGAGCTGATACCAACATTATAGGGTCTTCATGGACGAGGAAGTCGACTTCGTAGTAGACGTGGTAAAAGCGAAGCAGCAGCATCATGTCCATTTATCTTGGAGGCTGGGAGAGAACTGACGGGGTGCACTTTTTCAGCCAACCATTGGAAATGCTGAAACGTGACTGCAGCTTGATACAAGATACCACACACGTTAGACACGCTGCAACAACGTATTACAATGGTCTTTTAGGTTGTAATACAATTGCATCGAAGTCTGTTACATCGTGAAATGTTCTCCCAAATTTCCTAGTTTCATCGCCATGGTTTAATGACAATTTACAACGTGGCAGGGTCTTCCTGCATGGCCGTTGTCAGAGTGCGATAGGGCAATAACGATTTGTTCCTCCAGTGTGCATTACAAAAGCAAAGCTGCACCCAGCGAGTGACTTTCAGTGAAGTGTCAGCAGGAGATGAATAGAGGTTATCACAACGGGCCATTGACATCGAAAATGTTTTGCATGACAGTCGTTTTAGAAGTAAACGCTTTCAGAAAGGCCACAAAAGGTCGTTCTTGGTACTATATCTTGTACATGTACAATCAGCACCCGACACGAAGTATTCAACCGTCGACCAGTCGACAGTGGACAAAATGGGGCCCGTGTACACGCTGGGACTTAAGTAGTACATATTGCCTATTTGTCACTGTAATCGTGCCGACAGATCTTTCATTTTGCAGTTTTTTTGGTGTCGCAAAGCTTCCGCCAGGAATTTTTTTCCAATCCCTCTTTCATTCATCAACTCATGAATAAGTTACCGTCATCATGGATCCGGGGATTTCTTTTTACAAAAATGAGCAATAAAAAAAGTCTTTCGTACGAGGGTGAAATCAGTCTGTCAGTATCTTTCGAATTCTTACCTTACTAATGTTAATAAAAATGTCAATGATGGAAGCACGAGGTCCTCTGTATTTCACCAGTCAAGTTGGGAGTAACAATTTCGTTCATAAGAGAAATAGTTCTCCAACTTTTTCAGCAGAATAGACCTATCATCCGTTTGATTTTGGTTCGATTCAAAAGACTGAAGTATCACATGTCCATTTTTATAGAGATGTAGTACATTGTATGGACGGTAGCACATTTTATATATGAATTACTAAAAGCTTCGACTAGCTGTTTTATGCACACGTTTAATTTTGTTGTCTTGCATCCAAAGGTTTGAGACTCCCGTGAAAAAGTTCCAGCCCAACACTGAGAAGGACATTCCGAAAGAGTTCCATATCCGGGCACACTAGCCTATACGAGACTGGTCTAAAAAAAATCCAGTTGTTTTCTAAGCAAATACTTCACCATTTTCCCTGCTAAATGTAACGTTTTAGAAGATGTTAGCAAGCACTTTCTGGTGGCTAATAAGCCACTGCAAGGAAAAATAAATGCCCGTATAAAAACTTTTATCCCCAATTTTTTGTCACAGAACCTTTTGGAACCCTAACCCCAACCCACTCTTTTCCATGATCTTGAATAAAGGGAATAATTACAAAGAAATTTCAATTAAAGGAAAGGGACAAGGATGTAAACTTGTCCTTAATTAATACTGTAGTTCAATCCAGTAAATTTAGCAAAATTAAACACCATTTTGAAAGACCATCAAATTTTTTATAGACAAAACAACATGACTGAGGTCAAAGTCACAGGTTTCTTATCTCTTAACAACATCCGGGGCAACGCCCCCTTCCCTGGAAGCCATATGTACAATCCACTTTAGCAGCCAAGCAAGTCCACACCACTTTCCGTCAACACATATTACTTCTGTCCTTGTGTGTATGGTTGATTTGTAATTAACCATGATTCAATTTCCCTCGAGAGTAGGAAGCGCAGAAGTAATCGTAGGGCCTCATACGTACCTTCCACTCCACCGAGATGAAGACCTAGGGCAAAGAGAATCAGCGCAGACGCACTGGAGGCCGACATATTGGGCCCTGTCCTTGCAATGTCTCGTCCCCCCAGAGTACAAGCTCACACTATACCAGCCGAAACGTTAGGAACCACGGTGGGTCAGTATGCAAAGCGAGTACTTGCAAAAGACCTATTGGGACAATAGTGTGCAGACAACACGCTGCCCCGTCTATTCACCGTGACGGGCCATTCATTTTTAGGCCATGTAAATAATAAAAATGGGTGCTCTTGCAAAAATTTCTTTTAAAGAAAGAGAAGTACTCTATTATTTTTCTAAGCGTTTTTTTTTCACGATTGGTACATACACCTTTATGTCCTAGAAAGTCACAGTGTCTTCCAAGTTACAAAACTATCTTCTCAGCTGAAGTCAAAACACGTAAATTAAAACCAAAAAGGAGGCAGACACGAACGATAAATTAATTTTATTACTTAGGCCTACTCAGTCCTGTGCTACTATTTAGGTGCCAAGTATAAATGTCTAACATTTCGGCAACACTCTGTTCTGGCCCCCATCACACACCCACACTTGTTTCACATAGGAAGTGTGGACAGTTCCTTGTTCTCCTGTGGTTAAGGTAACTTGGCAAAAATGCTTGATTTAAAGCTGCGCTCACTTTGTGCTCACAGAAAAGATTCTCACACTTCCGTATGCTGCATGTCGGTTTTCAATAAGCTGTACTCAATATATGAATGAATTTTATTTAGTACACTTTTTCCCGAGAGTGTGTAAAAGTAAAATCATTTTATTGATGATTTTTTCAGTGTTGGCTTATCAAAACCAAGACGGAAATACACATGGACAGTTTGGATATCCTTTTTACTGTCAAAACCTATTGTATGTCAAAGTTTTACACACTGAACAAATCAGAATTGAACCGACCCAAAGTGAAAATATTGCTAAAGCAAGACCGTAACAAATAGGTACTAGGTGTAAAAAAATGAATGAATCACAAACACACATAAAAACAGGTTAACATTATCGCTTTCGAATGGGTTAGTTAATAAGAAAATGGTCAGTTATTTCCGGAAATGATATTCTTGCATTTTCTGCTTATTTTGGTTTGTTTTCGGGAGGGAGGCCGAGGCCCGGTTTAGCCATCATCCCATGAGAAAAAAGTTATGTTGACCATAACTGCACAGCATACAGCATCACATTACCCTCCTGAAGCGCCGCCATTGTTCGGCCGCGCATTTTGTGCGCAAACAATGCTCGATGTCCTATTTAGTCTATAATGGAGATCAATGATGGTAGCGCACTCACACGCACATTCTTCAGCTTGATGCGCACGTGCATTTGGCAAATCACGACACCCTGTTGGACCAAGAGGCATGTAACGCAAGAGCATTGTGCCCCTGCAGTAATGGCTTCTGATTCTGGAGGTCGAATTACACAATCGGCCTAAGTTGAGACTAAAGGTAAGAGTCAATATGGAGTCAAAAGGAGATTTAGGGGGAAAGCACTGACTTAAACTACTCAAGTGGATCCAGCAGTAAAAAATGGATGTGTTCAATTGTTTCTCACCTTGCCGATGACAGATATATCAGAATTATATAATTTATTCTTCAGACACAAGCAAAACGAGGATTATTAGTAAAGGAGAGATCACGATTTAACGCTCATTAGTAAATTCTACACTGTATTTTGTCGATACCAATTGCTTCAAAATTTCAGAAAAACGGCCACTTTTGGCCAAATGTTTATGAGTAGTAATCAGTTTTCCTTACCATCTTTAAAAACGTTGCTGTTACCTCTGTAATGTCATTATCCCGATCACCGTGTTAATTAGTACGTTTTACCGTATTATGCACTAACATGGCAAATAACAGATGGCCTTTTCAGGGAGTTGACCTATATAACAGACTCAAAATGAGAAGTCTTGCACAGGCTCAAAATTTCCTTCTGGAAGGACCAGTCAATCCCTGTTTATTCTCCTCCTTTCCGTCATCCTCCTTCCACACACTCTTCTCACCATTTTCTTCCCGCGCCTCTTCCAGTCCCAATCTTATACATTGTAAAACATTGAATTCTCTAATGCCGGGTAGATGTAACTAAAAATAGCACGCTGGCACCATAGACTCGGCCCCAGCCGCTAGTATTATACAATTCCATATCACTACACCTAATAGGAAAAATGTGATATCTGTGTATTTAAACAGCTTAAAATCTAAAATACACTGATAAGCTTAAATGTGCTAGTAAACTGCACAAATTGTTGAAGTTGGCAACTGTGTCTGTCTGGTGAGAAAGCATCTCAGAAGCAGCTCCACGTGCCATCCTTATTCTGATGTCATTTGGGTGCGTATTTCGTGTATGATATCCATCCGCTCAAGCGATGGTCTACCAAGTACTTCTAGCAAGTCGCCCACCGTCACTTCACCACCAATCGCAGCCCACTCTCGCAGCAGACACTCAGTTGGATTGCTGACCTTCTCGCTGTCCAATGCCACTACAGATTCCACGTCTTTACCCAACTCGCCTAGTGGCAAAACAGACCAGTTAAACTGAATCGATCAACATTTTTTCCCAAACACGATATCAGCAATGATGAACGATTACGCTGGTTTTAATCCCATCCATACCACAGATTCTTGTGTGGCATGTCTAGCAACCCGTGTTCACAAGTGGTAAGTGTGACCTTTTTTTTCTCTCAGTGAACTTACCACTTCTTTTTAAAACAAACCCTTGCCATATGACTTTTGTAATGCCAAATTTGGGTCCGCACTGCAAACCAAGTCTAGCCCAGCACTGATTACCTGCCAGAGTTTTCCAGTTTCTGATCATTGCTGCGTTGTTCAGAAGTAAGCACACCCTTTCAAAGATGTCGGGTGGTAGTTTGGTGATGACGGTCCCTGGGCCAAATGACACCCGTCGGGGACGAGTGGTGCGACCATGGCTTGCATCCTAAAGGATTTGGAGACACCTCAAATCAAAAGGACAGTCTACACGTACTAGAAAACCCTTTACCACCAGAGATTTATTTGGAGGGCAAAGCATTCCTGGTCCCTCAAACCTCCTAATTTTATGATGCACTCGATGAATAAAGGATCCATGCTGAGGGGCGATTTGAAATCTTCACGTAAGTCGTCATCTTCCGTCTAAATCATGGCAATTCTAATTGACTGAAACAATGCAAGTGGTACGTTGTAGGGGGATGATCTTTGCAAAACTGCTTATCATAATACATGTAATCCCATAATTCATGTTTATCTTATTAGCAATAGCTCTTTCGCATTATGCTTGATTCTTTTAATGTTTCATAACACGCTCATTTTCTTAGTTCTTAACCACTCTGTCCGGATTGCATTTCGGTGGAAGTATGGGAATACATACGATATTGGGATAAACTTGAATTAAAATTATAACCGTTTTCTACCTCCAATTGGAACTTACACTTGGTTTACACTCAGGTAGCCTCAATTCGTATCTGTGTTGTCCGCAGAATAGAGGTACCGGTGACACAGTTGGGAAAGGCAGATCGTGCCCAGCCATCTTTAGGACGTGGATTTTTGCCCCATCCAAAGTACTGTTTCCACATTTGCCTCCAAAGATGTCTTCGTTCGAGGTGCCAAAATCGAGTTCAGGCCCGCAGTAAGGACAGCGAGGACCGAATATAAAGGACAGCTGGGGGTAGTCTCGGGCGGTAATGCTCCTGATGAACTCCAAGAGGTCCTTAAGAAGGTTGGTGCTCGGATTTTCCGGCTCGAATGCCAAGACAGTCACTGACAGAAGCATCTGATGGGAGGACTTTTCCAACTGAAGCTTGAAGATGCAACTTGACCCAAAGTAGAAGCGGCTTCTGTCTGCAAAACTCATTGGCAAAGAGCCAAACTTTGTGTTGTCCTGGCTTGCTTTCACCACACAGCGGGTCAGCAAACGGTAGTAGACAGTGCTGGGATCAAAGAAGCCAAAATCAAAATAAAAGACCTCATCTTTTTTCGTTGGCTTCCAGAACTCTGTCGGCTCACCCCGATAAGGAGGCAGCATAGCTGGTACTAAAAAGGACTTCTGCGAGCTGTCAGGATTTAAATCAGGCGTCACGGGACACATGAGGTCATAGGCCTGAAGAAGCTTGGTCAGGAGTGGCACAAGATGGCACATGTCGCCGTAAATATGTTGCAGGAGACCTTCAGTGATGATTCCACTGTTTTCATAATTTATCCAATCAACAGCAAAGCGATGCGATCTTCTAGAAGCACGTGGAATGTGTACAAGTTTCTTCATGACATCAACTAGGAACTGAGGATCCAAGACAACATAATCATGCAAGACGTTGTCGTTATTTTTGTGGATGATTTCTCCAGCTTCGCAGAAAAATTTCAGCATACTCTCCAAGTCGTCGTCTTTCGTAATATCGCAGGTATTCATGGCAAGGTCTCCTATTTGGTCCACGGTCACCACGTTAGCTGCACAATCCTTCTCTGCCCGTTTTCGGTGTTTCTGAATCTCGCGATAAAAGTGCAGGTACTTAATGGGATATTTTTCCTGGGCGTACTCGGCACTCTCAACTCGTCTGAAAATTTCGCCTCGTAACTGCTTGAAATCTTCGTCAACAGGTTGCGAATTCTCTACAAGGAACAACGGTTTGTCGTTCAGTGAGTTCACAACAAGTCGGTGGCAAAATGGAGAAGCAATTCTACGGTGAAGTTCATTAGTGATACGCGTCCTGCTTGCCTCAGAAACGCTCTCTTTGTGGGTGCCGACAATGATGACAACAGCGTCTGGGTGACGCGCATGCGCACAGACTGAATGTAACCAAAAGAGAAGTTTCTGTAGCTGTCCTTCCTCGTCAGAAACAGCGGCCTGGAGGTTGAAGACGATCACATACAGAGCTCTGTCAGGCATGAAGATGTGATGCGTACAGTGGTACAGTGTGTCCCCAGCAAAGTCCCACAGACTCAGTTTGGTTTCTAAGACCGGCTTTCCTTGAAGGACAGATTTCATCTGCTCACGGATAAGCTTCACGGGGAAGGTTGACTTTGCTCGCCAGATCTTGAAGGTGTTGTGAAGATCAAACAAGGGTAGCGAGAGGACAGAAAGTATGTAGAGTGCCACGCACGACAAACTACGGCCAGGTATTCGCATCGTCCAACCACAGACGTATGACAGGTATAGGCCGAAGATGAGACCTGCAACTTTCTTTGACACGTAACTGGCTCTGAGTCCATACTTATGGGAAACCCTCCGGCCGAGAATAGTTCCCCATGTTGATTGAGCTGATACCACGATACCATTCAGAAAGAGGAACCAAAAGCGTCTGTGTCTGCAATCTCCTTCAGAGCTTAGTGCCAGAATTAACGCCAACAAACCACAGCAAAGGGCAGCTCTATACTTATGCCACCGGTCACTGAATGTACAAAATATATAGAACCCAACACCCAGGAGTGCTCCTGCACCTGATATCAAAGTCAGCACCAACCTGTCCCATTTCCCACCTTCGACTCCCCTTGTAGCCTCAGTCTCTGCAGGATGAACACTCGCTGAGAAAGCAACTGCGACGCCCGTACGGCAACCGAAACCGGTGGCTGCACCCAGTATAACGTAATTAACCGAGTCGAACATCATGTTCCCAAGAGCAGGCCAAATTGTCCGGTTTTGAAGATCGTCTGCACACTCCTCACCGCTCGATTCTTCCAACAATCTCTCACGTCGAAGCACTGCGTCAAAGAGAACACAAAACAAGGAGACGTATGTTGCAAACCGATAGGCAAAGTTGTAGTTGTTCATCAATGAAAGTGCAACGAAAGTACACCACACAAATGCCACGTAACCATACTGGAATACCTCAAATACAAACACAACAAGGAACAAGCAAAACAGTTCCAATCCTAGTTTTAATAAGTCAAGTTGTGTGCGTGGTTTTGTGGGGGTGTCCTTGTTATTTCCTCCCACTTCTTTCGATTCTGTTGTTCCATAAGCCGACGAAACCTCTCCAAGCACGGTCACCAAGGAGGCACAGTGTTGTATATCGTCTGACTTGGCACCACCTGTCTCTTTCCACTGCTTGTCCACGTTAGTCACTTGACACATGCGCGTGTCAATCCCCTCGGTCGGCTGTTCCCGAACGTCAAACTCTCTGTCCAGGAGCCGGTTTAGTAAGCTGGTCTTGCCGGCACGAGGTTCGCCGAGGATCAGGACTCGCGCTCGGTTGGCAGGTAGCTGACCGTCCGTCTGGGCGGTTGCATAAGATTCTCTCAAGGATTTGTCCTTTAACAAAGTAGTCAGATGGATGCTTCTGTTGAAGTCTGAAATTGGTGCTAGGACTGTTTCAGGATCGCTTTTTCCACTCCTCGACCACATGTCCTCGGCTGTGATTCTAGGAAAATACAAAATGAAAATCATAAATTTGAACAATGCATTTCTTCGAAGGCTTAAGACCGGCCAAGCACATAGATCTACATTTACTTCCTTGACTGCATTTGCGAACCTTATTCAAAGAGTTGAAGTGATGAAACAAACATTGACAGAAACATGGACAGAACTGTACAAAAATAAAAATCATCGCTCACGTCACTTCAATCTACCTCAGAAGAGGTCTGGGCGAGTCTTTCTCCCCATGGAAAAGACGTCTATATTGCTTATGTACCGATTGGCTTTTATGAACCCACCCCACAAAAGCATACGTGTGTGTGCCTTTATGCATTTCTGCGCGATGTTATGAAAAGTCATTCAGTGTACATGTACATGGCTCGTGTATAGGAACGCAAAAGACTTCCCTGCGGCAACCCAGATTTATGCTTGGCTATACATACAACTTTATATGGCACAAATTGAAGTTCGATGAGTCACAGTAATGACGTCATCAGGCCGGAGTTTGGGGATAATAGTCCTCTATTACATTGCTTTCATTTCGGTGTTTTGTGTTTTGAAAACCGAGAACTGAGGTTGATACTTTTGCCAAAATTGAGAGGAGAGATTTCTCTTCGCGTACCAAACCACAATAAAATTCCATCCACTGAAAAAAAATTGTAAAAACGAACTGAGGTTGATACTTTTGCCAAAATTGAGAGGAGAGATTTCTCTTCGCGTACCAAACCACAATAAAATTCCATCCACTGAAAAAAATTGTAAAAACGAGAAGGTTTAATTTACTACATCACCACAATTTACTACAATGAACACCTGAACTTCTATGAAATTAATGAGGAGTATGTTGTAAAACAGTTGTCTGCCCTTTGCGTGGGTAAAGCTACAGGTATTGATGAAATTGATGTTAAGCTACTAAAAGTGGGAGCTCAGGTGATCGTAGCACCCTCACACAATCCAAAACTTTACCATTCTTTCTGCTGTCATCCCACTTGAGTGGAAGAAGGCTGTTGTTTCACCAATTCTCAAAGATGGTATGAAAACAGACTAACAATTACAGATCTATATCAGTCTTACCTGTAATCTCTAAAATGCTCGAGATTGCCATCCACACCCAAGTGTACTGCCATTTGCAAGAACATGGGCTCTTATCAAGTGTCCAATCTGGTTTTCGCCTCAATACTCAACACTTACTACCGTAACTGATGTTTATCTTTACCATAACACAGACAACGGTAAAATAACTGGTGCCGTATTTTTAGATCTGAAAAAAAAGCCTTTGATACGGTAAATCACGGGGTTCTGTTCCGCATGCTGTCATGTTATGGTATTAGTTATAAGAGCTGGCATGGTTTTCAAACTCTCCCACTCACAGAGAGCAAGTTACAGATATTAATGGGACTTGTTCAGGTCTCAGACAAGTTACAGTTGGTGTACCCCAGGGTTCGATCTTAGGCTCACCCTTGTTTAGTCTTTTTATCAATGATCTGCCAAACAATATAATCAAGAGTAAGATAGTTCTGTACGCAGACAATACTGCCATAATGTACAGCTCTAAAGATAAGCTTGATGTTAACTGTGTCTTGAAGGAAGATTTATTAATTGTTCCTGACTGGATGTACAACAATAAACCGACTCTAAATGCTTCGAAACCCAAGGTCTTGACTTCTGGTACATGTCAAAAAATAAACAATAATAAGCTGACTGTTAGAATCGGAGGCGACATTTTGGAGAATGTGACTGAGTTCAAATATCTTGGTGTATGGTTCGACCAGTATATTAGATGGGATACTCATTTTGACAAAAAATGCTGTTAAACTCTCCCAGAGACGTGGAGTGATGAAACGAGTGAGTTGGTATGTGGACTAGTAAACCCGTGATACTTTGTAAAATGCTCTCATTCTGCCTCACAATGACTATTGTTGACAGACTGAAGCTGCCTCTAGCTATGTAAATCGAATTCAGGTTCCCCAAAATCGGGCAGCAAGACTAAGGTTAGAGATACACATGTTAATGATTTATAAACTGAATTGAAATGGATGCACGTTCGGCAGTGGGCTGAGTATTTTAGAAATACTCTTATGTACAAGTGCATTCATGGAATAGGCCCAGAGTATTTGGCATCTGCAATGCAATCTCAAATTAGTAATCACGCATACAACACAAGATTCAATAATAGTAATAACGTTTCTTAGCCAGCTGTAAGAACAGAAATTGGTAAACGTTCCTTGAAATTTTCTGGAGCCAGGTCATGGAATGACCTTCCACCTGACATGAAAACTTTGCCTACGCTTGTCAGTTTTAAAAAGCAAATCAAGGCACAAATCTTAAATTCAGATAATTAAAAGACAATTTGAATTATTTGCCAAACTATGTCGTCGAACCAATTAATCAAGTCATCTTATCTTATTAATAATAATAGTGTGTGATCCGGACACTGTTCTAAAGGTCTGCCATTGGGCTCATTTTATGTATATTTGTTTATAGTCTTTTGTCTTTAAGTTTGATTTATTTACAAGGTTACTCTTTGCTGTATTTATGTTCTATGTAACTTCATTGTAAGTAAAATGTTTTTCTGCTGTGCTTTTTAAGTATAATGGTTTTCATAATTATTGTTATTTTTTCTGATTGTATTTTAATTGAGGGCCTCTATGGAAAGTAGAGTTGTGCACTGATGGAGCTTACCCTCAATACAAAAGACCTAAATAAATAAAATTAAACTGTAACAGTCCCCTATCCCACAATTTCAATGCAAATACAGTTTCAATTTAAAGCACTATATATATAGAACGCTGCAAGGCACAAAAACACAACGATTTAAAACAAAAACTGCAATCAACTGGTGAGTTGTGGAGAAACTTAGATCCAGGCTGGTTTCACATTAAGCCAAACTGAAAACCAGTTGTATTACACAAGCCGATATCTCCTGAAGCATTCTCTGCAAACATCTCAAATTTTGAAATTCTAAAACAAACAAAGACTACAGAGTTGATACTTACAAACTTAGAGAATTTTGAGAATACGCATTGGCACAGCTGTACAGTACATGAAGGTAGGCTATACTTCATGCTTGAGGACTTCACTTCATGCATCACATGTCAACTGTCTAAAATAGACGAAGTTCTCAAGAAGATTATCCCGGTGATTATCTGACGTCGGTACAATTGTCAATCAATTACTTCTTATCCTGAACTTGACACTCGGCAATGAAAGCGCTCAGCGCGGCTCTGAACTTCAACGTAGTACGAGAAGTGAAACTGAGATCGATATGTATGCGCAAAGTCGAGTATTTATATACATGTAGTTATGTACGTGCGTATAGCAAAGAACGTAAGGCCCATTGTGGTCCTAATTCCTCGTTCTGGTTCCGAACTTGAGTTGTTCATAATAGAGACACAAAACCAGTCCGATACGGGTGAGGGATCAAGAGTCAAGCATAACATGCACGTATTGAACTAGGTCTATGCCTGAACCGAAAGTTTTAAAAAGTCAACTTTATCGAATCGAGGTTGTATCTTACAGAGTTAAGAATTTCCACTTTTTATTTTGCAAATCAAATGTAAGTTCATGCATCAATTAGGCCATTCGTGCGTTCAAGAATTTTCGCTTTAAAACCTGCCTTACATATTTTTAGTGCAACATAAGTTTACAAGGCAGACTTGCCTAAAAATTCCAAGTTAACATCAATGGTAACAAATCTCTCCGGAATGTTTCAGCTCGACATGAGTGTCCCACGTTATTGCAGAATGAGATTTAGAAAAGAAATTAAAGCGTAAATGTGACATACATAAAATCCTCCCTGAGCAGAAGCACCCCCTCATCGGTTGAAAATAGCCATGCTGGTGGCGACTGTTCGTTTTGTTGGTTACGATGGAACCGTAACGAGTGCAGTTCAAAGTACGTGTAGTAAATTGAACCACCGAAGTGCATTTTCACCAAAGGAGCCGGCGTTGTCAAGAAAACTGCACCCTCTCTTGGTCAAACTCGGGGCTCATAGTGCCGCAGTTGGCTGTTATGTTGGCTATATTAAGACGCCTGTGAACTGATGCTGCCCCCATGCAACAAAAGCAAACCTTTGTAAGAAGAGCGTACGTGTGCTTTCTTTTCTCTATGTTAGGAACAAGATTTGAAAAACGGCTCTTCCAAACGAAAGTTCGCCTTCTTCGAAAATGAAACAAAAGGGCTCCCAGAAGTAACGCAAACTTGTATTTTGCTGTCCGCAATATAACTGCGGTATGAACTGAAATTTATTGAGACACAGCAATGACGTTATCCGGCAAGTATGGCCCTAATGAAATATTACTTTCAGTTCAGTGGTTTGTACTTTGTGTTGGGCTCACCGAAAGAGAAGTATCATGCTAGCGTAATAATTGAATCAATGAAAATTTCTGTTTTAAATGTAATATTCATCCATGTGTTGCGGTCCATATGGCCCACAAAATTACGCAAGCTACATTGGTATGCGCGTTATGGATTCATCCATTTAGTTCCGTAACTATTAAACCACAGGTCTTTTTGTCAATGGAAGACTTGATTGATAGAGAAACTTCACCCACACACATTACATTTTACACGAATTTGTTGGATGCTTTTGCCGCCACTTTATTTTTATCTGTGACCCAGCGTTGTCACAGACACTGGCTTGGCCAATTCGTCGCTTGGCATCGTTCGCGATGTGGGTGTTATTTACAGTGTTTGATATGAAGCATTTTAGACTATCGCAAAGGACGAAATTAATGGGTTTTATTCACAAGACGGCCGTTTGGATCATGTCCCGACCCACTATACTCTAAATGTAGAGTTGGACTATTTTGCCGCAAGCACGGGCATAGCCTCACTTTGATTTGTTATAAATAAAACGTGGCATAACTTTTTATTCATAATTTCGATTTACCCGTCGGAGCACAGATTGGAAATGTGTTATTTGGCCCGAATGTATCATCTTCACTCCCGCACTCATAAATATTTTTTAAAAATCTATACAGGTATCACCTAGCTTTAATTCAAGATGGCTGACTAGAGGATGAGGCCTGAGGCCTTTTAAAGACACGAGTCGCGAACAGACAGATTAAATCTTAAGACTGGGTTGTTTTCAAGCAACTCAGCAGAATTGAGAGCCAGCTTTTTTACACAAGCCGATATTTCGTGAAACATTCTCTGATATCTAATAGTTTGAAATTCTCAACTATAAAATGTACCCTAGAGCGCGAAAATGTCCAAACAAATTGATACTGTATATACCAACAGGGTTAGTGAACTTTGACACATCGGTACAAAAGTTGTTTAATACGTGAGAAAGCACGCAAATGTCCACTCATACATCACAGCTCCAGCAGTCTAAACGACGTTCTGACGAGAAGACTGCCATTGGACTTATCGGCGATTGTCTGACGGAGGCGAAATTGTCAAATAATTCCTTCTTATCCTGTAACTGTCACTCGGCATTGAGAACGCTGGGCGGAGCTTCAGTCCTCAATGAAGAGTATGACACGTGAAAGCAACAGCCTACGTGTGGTCCATGCACATCAGTATATATATATGTTCATTTTCATAGTGTAGATATACAGACAGGATGTCTGAACCGATATGCTCCTTCCGGGTTCTGGTTCAAAACCAGCATTTGATAAAATGTTCGACCCAGGTGAGAGTTAAACAGGCGATCAGGCCTATGCCTTAGCAGAAAGTTTAAACATGTCAACATTACTGAAAGGATATTGTATGTTAACGAATAAAGAATTAAGAAAATTCGTCCTAAAAGTGAACTTGTGCTTAAATAAAGAACAACACGTATTGATATTGTAGAGCATGACAATAGGCTGTTTTCATATTTCCATCGGTGTGCAAATGCCTTTGGCAAACAGGTCTACATACCACATGTACCCAAGTGTTTAACCAAAGACAAATGAATCTTAGTGAAAATGTACGGTGCACTACAGAGACCAAAAGGCAAGACATTAAATTTGAGCCACCTTTGCCTGCCACTTTAAAGATATAAACAAGAGCACGGAAAAAATTTAAAGGGCAATTGTTCATTCCCTTTATTTTTTTTCAAAACATGGCGGCATAAGCAGTAGCAACCGCAACATCAAGCAATATGGGATGAACAAATCAAGACACTTGAGGCAGAATTTCGGAATAAAATCCACCATCAATTTAATCAAATACTGTCTACACACACGTTTTACAGAAATTTGGCCCGAGCGACCCGGTGTAAAGTTGACGGATACAGTAGCCAAGGCTGGAGCGCAGCTCATTTATAACAATCTAATCCAAAGTATAATGTACCAAAATATTCGAAACACTTGACAAGCGGAGAGATAAAGGAGGTTTACGCCGCACCTGTAAAGGAATAACAACCTTCACTGGGCCTTGAAAAGACTCTATTACGAGTGGGCAAGGACGTTCGGTAGGTCTGGGAACCCGTAGTTCTCAGAAGAGTCCTGGAAGTCAGTACTCCCATTCATTGCAAAGGCCATTTTCCAATACTTAACTTCGGCTCCGTCTCAGGTTTCAACTGTTTTTTTATTACTACCAGACTTTGAAGCTCTAAGCGCACTAATTAGTCTAACAGTGCCACAAATAAGATGCAAGAGCAAAAACTTACAGTAATTCAATTTGATTTAAACGCCCAAGCCATTTCCAAGTTCAATTTGAATAAAATCCGGTACACTGAATTCTTCAAATGTATATAAACATAACAATTTTAATTCCAAGACTAAAGACACTGTTACTACACTTCATGATTGGGGCAAGCTTTTATAGCGACTACCATCTGTGGAATGGACTGGCTCCTTTGTACCCTTCTAATCCATTGAGAACAGTGTATTGTTGCAAGGCGTCTGTTAAGTAACTAAGCAAAAGCCTGCCCTGAATCACGAGGTGTAGCAACAGTACTTTTAGTAGAGAATACGAATTGTTATGTTAATGTGAATTTAAAGAACTTTGTCAGATTTAATTTAACTAGAAACAAGCTTATTTTAGAATTCAAGTTCAGAAACAAATGTTGCGCCTTCCCTTCATTCAGAGGAAGGATTCCACTCCAGGAAATAATCTGTTACAGCCATACAGTTGAACTGCGCAACTTTCCCGTTCAAATCCACCTGAAGGCATTGAGCAACTCTCCCTTAAGTCAAAACAGGTAAGCTATTGTAATGGCGTAAGCTGGTTGTCAGTGGTAGGCTTCCGAAGATTTGGAACGTGTTGCGAAGATATGGTTTCCATGACAACTATTGGTGCAAGAATTTTCCTTATAACTTTGCAGAATCAGCATTTATGTTCATATCACTAAATTAGTGATAGTTTTGGCCCTGATTCCTTGGTAATGTGTGGCTTAGGTGAAAAAGTCATGATAAACCTGTTATGCATTAACGTTGATCACTTGATTGTTGGCCCGCTGAGCTGCCATTTTTGACTACCCTGACGAAGACGTGCTCGTCCTAACCGAGTAATTTTCGAACCATTTTCGGCAGTTTCGCCGTGAGTATTGTTTTATAAATGTTCTCAACAGTAAAATGATAAGTACATGTATTGTAAACCGTAGGACCAGTGAATAGATTAAAGGATAGATTATTTTTCCTTCTCTGTTCGTATTTGTCGCCCTGTGTAGCACGGCAAATTATGTTAGTCATGGGTGATACCATAGAGGAAGGACACAGAAGGGGTTAGAACTGCCCAGGCTTTAACATCTGGCCAACTACCGCTTTCTGGTATGCCTGGTATGTCCGTAACCAGAGTGCGCACCACTGTTTCATAACCCCCAGGTGCAACGGTGGTATTTCATGGGTCCAGTCCACTAATTCAAGCCCCATTGAAAACAATGTAAAATCAGCACCGTTCAGGGCCCAATAGCATGCACGCCAACATCCCTGAGATTTCTGAAACACAAATAAAATTCTTGTCTGGTCACTAATCTTTCAATTTCTTTTCAATTTTTTGTGGGTTAACCAATTACATTTTTAATTATT